AGGGACCGTCGATTTATGTTTAAAAAAAAAAAACTCAATTAATTAATAAAAAATTATTTATTATATGATATATGTTTAAGTATCGAATGATTCTCAAAGTATAAGCATTTTGATGAAAATTACAACAATTTAAGTACCTTCATACATTGTGCTTTATAATAAAAGTAAATTAGAAGAGACGTAAAAATTATAACAAACGATCCCTCCATTATAGTTTTAAAGGACAGACTTTCATCTCCTCTAGTCATACCTAATTGATTTGATGATAGTACTCATTTTTTTCAAGAAAAAAAGTGTTGCAGTATGTGCACGTTTTAGAAAACTGCCGCAAAATATTTATTTTTCAAATGTAGTACAGAGAGTTTTCAACTAATAATACAATGTTCTAAGGGTTATTAACGCATAAATGGACCGATTTTTTTGCCATTACAGTTTTCACAATCAGGTATATGGTTGACTCCCAAAACCAAATATTGTAAAAAAGTTTGATACATCGTAAAAAGTAAATAATTTATGACGGACAACTTTTATGGTAGATACAGCTTATGCTACTTACTAACCTTAGTCATAATAACTTTTTTCAAATTCTACTAACGTATATTTTCTAAGGTGCTGATTCGTTAAAAAGAGTAAAAGTTTTCTACAAAAGTTTCTTATTACTGCCATTATTTAGTATAATAGTACCAAACAGTTTTAATGTACCATGAACATCAAGATATAACTGACTACTCAACTGTTCTATCATTTTTAAGCTTAGAGAAAAACTTCGAAGAAAACTGCCGTGTCACCTTTATCGATATTTTAATATTTTTATTCGCATAGGGACGAATTGTATAACTTTACAAATGAGTCCTGAAGTATAAAATATTGTACAATAATTCTTGGAAAAACTTTCCTTTCATTAATAGCTGCTTATAGTGCTTATACAGTGATTCTTAGGTAATTGGCTGTATTTTTTTTACAAGCTCCCAAAAGACTTGTAATATTCAAGTGTTGTCCCAGATAAATCATAATTTAAAACTCCTTTGCCAGTGCAGTAATATACATCAGATCTGCATTTTTAAACTGTTTTTACAGCTGCAGTTGTGACAGATCTTATTTCAGAAGATATAGGGTTTTTAATACAGTTCTTAAATTTTTCTCATTGCTAATTCTAATTGTTTGTCTTTACGCGAAAATAAAACATATTGGACGTTGATGTATAAATTAAGTTAACATATTTTCTTTAATATACCTGTTTATAATTTCTGCCCTTATCTTTTTTCCTTAAAAATTCTAGCCTCTTATCCTCTAGAAGCGATTCTGCTAGATGATCTGCTGTCAATTCCAAATTTAATAAATTGAGAATCTCATCGTCAAACGAAGTAGGACCAGTATCCAATATTAGTTCTTCTATGAACTTTAAAAGATTATTTATTTGTAAATGTAATTTGCTCTTTATTATCAAACTTTTCTTTTCAACTATACTTTTTCTTATTATTACATCTTGTTATTAATCTTTCTATGTTGTACTTTTAAAGAAAAATCATAGTTAATTGATATAATAAATAGTAGTTTTCCTACGAGTTTGAGAAGACTTTGTTTGCGAACCGAGAGGTTTGCGGCCCGAGTCGAAGGCGAGGTCCATAACGAGGTTCATAAGGGAGACTTTTCGAACGAGTATAGGAAAACTGCTTCTTTGCCCGAGGAAGTACCAGCCTCTCAAAACCACCCGAGGGCGAAAAAGTACTTTTTTCTGCTTTACCAACATTCAATTTTGTACAAATCGGTCGTCCTTAAAGATACAAAGATGAATTTTAATTAAAAAATCCAGCTTCACGTTTTAAAAACAAGTATTTGTTTATAATGTCAGTTAGAATTCTGAAGACATGTGGTTAGAAAAAAATAAATTAACTGTACTANGTTTATGTATAAGCTTTGCAGTTTATAAACGAAATCAAAACTTTACAGATAGAAGTTGGAAACTTTAAATGTTATGTTTCAATTTCAAAGAGTTTCCCATAAGACCAGCATCACATAATATGTTCAAAGAAGAACTTAATTAATTAATAAAAAATTATTTATTTTATGATATAAGTTTAAGTATAGGATGATTCTCAAAGTATAAGAGTTTTAATGAAAATTACAACAATTTGAGTACCTTTATACATTGTGCTTCATAATTAAAGTAAATTAAAAGAGAAGTAAGGGTTATAATAAACGATCCTTACGTTATAGTTTTGAAGTAAATATTTTCATCTCCTCTAGTCATACCCAATTGCTTTGATGATAGTACTCATTTTTTCAAGAAAAAAAGTGTTGCAGTATGTGCACGTTTAAGAAAACTGACGCAAAATATTTATTTTTCAAATGTAGTACAGAGAGTTTTCAACTTTTGTGTTAGATACAGCTTATGCTACTTACTAACCTTAGTCATAATAACTTTTTTCAAATTCTACTAACAATTTTACTGATAAGGGTACTTGTTAAAAAAAAGTGGAAAAACTATACAACAATACATGTATACCATAAACCTTTAAAATAAATGTTTGCACTCTCTCATTGGTTTAAAAACTTTTTTATTTATAACAGTTATTAACAAGATATATACTATTGGCACTACGTAGCGAAATTTTTGATGTCCCAAATTTCGTCATGTGATTTTCTAAATACAGTCTAAAAAAAAAAACTAATAATCGGCAGACTCTGTTAGTCAGTTAACATAATCAAGATAATCAGTAAACTTTATAATTTCTTTATGTTGATGAATACTTAGGAGTAATCAACTATATTACAATTTTATAATAATTTTCAAGCAAAGTAAAAGCCTCCACTAAAATAATTAATTCAGGAGTCCATCAGGCCAGTTACTAGTTTTTAAATAAGTTTTATTACATGGCACTATAATGATTTTTTTCATACGTAAGTTTTAAAACATTCTGCACAATAAGTAGATTAGGCTACACAACAGCACATTAACCAAATAAAAAAGATAATAGTTTAGTGTATTTCAAAAAAATTTTTTAAATAAATTTTGTCATAGTCTTAAGTCGAAATTATCTTGTTTTGTATTATATTGTCTATATTTTGTATCATAATTCAAAGTAAAGAAAATTCAAGTTACACTTACATAGTAATGTATGGAAAATAATGGTAATAAGTATTAATAAACAAGACGATATCGATATAACTCTTGACTTTTCTAGCGCCCTAATAATACAATATTAAAATTGTAACTTTTTATTAAATGTAAAAACGTATAATCTAAAATAAATAACACTCAAGATAAACATTATTGAGACTAATTTTTAAAATTCCTGATCTCTTAGATTTTTTAACATTATTTTCTAAATACTCTAATGGTTTGGAAGAATTAAAAAAAAACCATTTTTTGTACACACCAAAAGTTAGCCAATCTAATCAAGATAAGCTGTAAATCAAATGACAATTCTTTGTTGATAACTGCGTGAGTATGAGCAACTACGACATGATTTCATAATAATTTTCAAACGGAAGAATGTACTTAATTACAATATTTCATCAAACAGTATACCTTCTAAATTACTAATGTTTAAAAATGCTTTTTCTTACAGCATTACGAAAGATTTTTCTAATCATTACGAATTTGAAAAAAGTTTACATAGCTACTAATAAGATTGTATCGGATTGCACTTAATTTAGATTTAAAAGTAAATGGAGAAGTTAGGTTTTCCATTAACCACAGATCCCTTTAGTTATAATTTTAGCTCTGTTTAGAAAAATGTGACTAATCAAACTTATCTAATAGTTTAAACAATTGAGGTATCTTCAGAGGGTAGCGCAAATTTTTTATACGCTATACTTAGTTGTATAATTTTGTACGTATGTTCTTAAAAAGTAATGTAAAAAAAACATACATGATCTGTAAGGTTTTTGAAAATGTACTATAAGCTTTTGTTAAAAGCGGGCCCATACTAGTTACCATAGGCCCAAAGTGCACCTGCCGCGGTGTGCCCTCGGGCCACACTTTACGCCCTCGTTACCACTTTGGACCTTACGGCAAAAAGTTTTTTGCACCCTCTGGGCCCAAGCACTTCTCTAACTAGGGCCCAAAATGTGCCCACGGGCGCAAAATGGCACTTTGTACCCTCGATGAGGAAAACAAAATATACGACTTGGGCACAAACATACAACAACCGCACCCTTCGAGTGCTCATTTATNTAGGTAATTTGCGCGAAGGATATCCAACAAATCCGTAGTATCTTTCCGTCCCTTTGCAATAGTACTTCCTTCTATCTGATTCACTTACGTTATTAATCGCGAGAATGACTCGGTAAGTAAATTCGGTTACCTTCGATGTAACATGTTTGCTTTGTATATAGATTAAAAAACATGTACAATTAATCAAACTGTACTGAAAAACTTAACTCAATATTACTTGACAAAAAAAATTTAGAACTAATTGGAGCCCACTACCACTTAACCATTATCGTCTTACTATATGACGATCGAGAAATCATTGATTATAGCAGCACATATTAAAGAAATATTTTTACCTTTCTGAAAACTTCTATTTGGTTGTATGATTACAAAAGATGCTTTAGCTACGCCGTCCGAAGTAAAAAAAAGTATCCATGCAACAGTAACCAACGAAAAAAAGTAAAAGATGAATAAAAATCCAAGTTGAACACTGGGTATTATTAAGATCTATTTACCCGTAGTGCAAATTTCCTTTGACGTAAAGGTACATTCATAGCTATTGCAAGCCTTGCATGTTATTACGACAGATGTTACTAGCTATTTCAGTTCTACCGTGGACTTTTGTTTAAAATTGCTATTTCGCACATCAGTTTCTATTCCCTGGAAAAATTAATGAACTTTCCGAAAATGTTATTTCTATAGTTACATTCAAATATTAGTCTCAACGTAAGAATGCAAATAAGCAAATTATTTTTTATAGTAACTTACAAACCTGTGAGTTATGTTCTGTAAAGTCGAGTGTCAACGTTTTCGTGCAATAGTTAATTTTAGTTCAGGATATATTCGCCTTAGGATGACGATCGTCAAGGCAAACAAACTTAGCAGTTTTATTGAAACTGTAGTAAGATTAAAGGTAAGATTTGTCAAACTAGACCGTTGGCTTATCTGCAAGAAAAAGAAAAATCAAATGCTTGACATAAAGTTCCGTACTTAAAAGCAGCATAAGTATTTAGAACTGCATGATATTGTGAAAAACCAAAAATAAAAATTGTTCATTCCCAAAGTTTTAGCCACAAGACAACCGACAATTCTGACTTTCTTATTTTACTAAATACAACCTTGGTTTATGTATAAGCTTTGCAGTTTATAAACGAAATCAAAACTTTACAGATAGAAGTTGGAAACTTTAAATGTTATGTTTCAATTTCAAAGAGTTTCCCAGTCGTAACGGTTACAAAAATAGATCCATTTTATATAAATTCGTAGATTGAAAGTACTAGTTTTAAGCCTAAGCAAGTATATATCGACTAATATTGATTTAATCTCAAATATGAAAACCATATAAAAAATTACTGTTTGGCACTTTATTTATTCATAAATCATACAATGTAGTCCATTGTTCTCCTAAATATATCATGGATTATTTTGGACGACTTGATGAATCTTTTATATCTCTTTCTGTAAATGATGCAAAAAAAGCTGGTCTGAATTTAAATTCAGGTCTAATGTGAAATACTAATAAATTATAAGTGTAGATGGTCGCAACTTTCATTGACATAAAAGTATACACATCCGTTCAATACTCAATTTCAAACATAGTTTCTATCGAGCCCACTAATCTACAATTAAGAAGTGCCAATTTTTAAAAAATTGTCAAAGTATATTAGGAATGGTTTCTTATCACTGAGGTCAGTATTTGAACACCATTATGTAGGTAAAGAAAATGATAAAGACTTAAATCTTTTTAAGAGACGAAGTTTTTTTCCTTTTAATCGGAGCACATAATGTAAAATAAAAGATTATTAACTCCCTAAAACTCAAAACTAATACTACGAGGTCGTTATTATTTAGGTGCAGCAAGTCTAGAGTTTAAATAACAATTTCACCACTTCCTACAGACTACTTCCAGTTTTGGTAGTATTGAACTAAAAATACTCGAAACTTTGTGATAAAACTGTAAAAAACAATTGTCATACTAATCTTTTTTAATGTTTAATTTTGTCCGTTCAAAATATTTATGTCACGCAAGAATCTAACATATTTATGTACCATGAACGTCAAGATAAAATTTCAACTCCTTTACTACTTTATTATGTTTAGCTTGAAGCAAAAAAGTTTCCGTGTCATCTTTATCGATGTTTAATATAGTTTATCATCTCATCGTTCCGTAATCGGATATTCTTACGTCCATCAAGGCACTGTTCATAGCTGTGGCATACTGTCATTTACTAACTCAGTGGCTACGTTACCTTCTATCGATTTGGCACTACCTGTATAATTTTTGTTACAATCGTGATCAGTCGGATCATGGCCATATTTGCACGTTGTGCATTTCCTGTTTTGAGTGCGATGATCCAATACTTTGCTCGATAACAAACCAATTACTGCCCTGGACCCATTCGAAGAGTCGTAACATTTTCCGGTGCTTCTCCTACTCCAGGCCATGTCTTAAGATACTATAATATTGATTACGTCAAGGTTGTGAGCATCAAATCTGGTGATACTACCTTTTTCTTCTTCTTCAATGGCAGCCATCATCTCCGGATATATTTCCTTTGTCACTTCTTCTGGACTGTAAAAGAAANCCGTGGCACCCGTAGAGTCCAAGCTCTCTTTTTTTGTATTTCAGAACTACCTCGTCAATTAGTTAAATTAATCTATCTCTGAAACTATGGTGCGAGAAAAATAGGTCACGGATTGAGACTAAAAATCTTAGATGTGGCTCTGGTTTACACCTTACTTTTTGCAGTTACTGTCAACAATTTTAATTTATGTTTTCAAATTGTGCTGTTCATACAACTAGAGCGTTAGTTATAAATTAAAAATGTGTATTTTTATGTATACATACCTGAAAGGACAATAAGAAAACACAGTAGCTTTAACCACTGAAAAAAAGTCGGTGGATCCTTCCAACCTCGAGTGTTCGACATCATTAACTGTAGGTATGTTCGAGTAGTTGCAAATAAAGTAAATAATTGAGGCAAAAAAAATGTAGACTTTAGCTCAATTATTTTTGAAAGTAAATCGATGCAAGTAATGTCTGAAAAATCCACCACTAGTAGATATACCGCTTATTGAAGTAGAGCCTTTGTACCTCACTGCAGTGGTCAAACGTAAAATGGGGAAGCCTTACACTTATTTGACAGAGATAGAAGATGACTTCGTCTTGTCACCTGCTATGCACAGGTGTGTGCTTATGATTTGTTAAACAGCAATCAAGCTGATTCTCACTTTTAATCACCTGTCTTTGTCCTAATTTAAAACTTCTTTCGCAGCCACCCCCCCCCTCTCCACGTTCTGTTTCTAAGCTGCACCTTTTCGTAATTTGGAATTTAAATAATTGTCTATACATACGTGATGGCATCAGTAATAAATAATGAGTACTTTTGTTTGAATTTAGAATTACCTAACCAATACGATAAAAAAATTAAAGAATTTTGCAGATGATAAATCTTTTACTACTATTAAAAATTGACAATGTTCAGAGTGAAGATTTAACAACCACAGATTAGCAGTGTTCAAAAAAATAAAAATACTTTGAACTACTTTATTTAAATTCTAATTAAAATTATTAATCGATTGATACCTTTTTTTGTACAAAAGGGTGTACGAGGGTGTCATTGTACAGTTAATTACGAACATTGAATCTGCATTTTTGCGGATTATTTTTACAACCACTTTTTTATCAATCTTCATAACAATAATACCCTAAGCTACTAACTTAAAGACAATTCTAAAAGTTGCACCTATTCGTTGTTTGTATTCAGTTAAATAACTTAGTCGTTTTATATAATCGTAGATCAAATAGATGCTTATCTCTTCCCTTATGATATTTTTGTTTTACGTCCCCTCTAGAAAACTTACATTTTCTATCGAATAAAAGAAATTTTACTTGATCATCTACTGTTAGTTCTGAGTACATGAGTGCTCTTTCTCTTAAATATGTAAGACCAGCATCACATAATATGTTCAAAAAAGAACTTAATTAATTAATAAAAAATTATTTATTTTATGATATAAGTTTAAGTATAGGATGACTCTCAAAGTATAAGCGTTTTGATGAAAATTACAACAATTTGAGTACCTTTATACATTGTGCTTTATAATAAAAGTAAATTAAAAGAGAAGTAAGGGTTATAATAAACGATCCTTACGTTATAGTTTT